TCCCTCTTTTGTTTAAAGGGGAGATTTTATTCAGTCGGTTTTGTGGTTTTACCAGGCCTCTCTTTCCTAGGGAGCAGACTAAACAAACGGGTTAAAAGAAGCTATGATATCACCTCATAGTCTTTTAAAAATCTTAAACTGGGCAGATTCAAAACATCATGGATGTATGTTGAAGGAGGGAAAGTAGGAGCTCACGAAAGCAATATCCTATAAACGTGAGCTTGGCCTGCTATATTTACAAGTGCCCGCAGTCTCCAACTTTACCTTAATAAAATATGGTTTCCCGAACTCCCCGCTGAGGTGCTTCTTCCAACTCTCACCAAAACCTACAGGCACATTGCGCGCTGCGAGTCTGAGCAGTGCGGCGGCTTTGTTCCTCTGGATGCGGACCAACTGCTCGGGGCTCAGTGGCGACGAGGGTGGCGTGCCGGGCTCCTCCTGCCCCGCCCGGATCTTCTTGGCGGGGCTGGCCTGCAAGTGGTCGCCGCAGAAACGGGTCACGAGCTGCAGCGGACCTCTCCCGGGAACCCGCAGCTTCCGTCCCCAACCCAACAGCGCAGGGTAGAGGACACCCATTCTTGGGGTTTCAGCCCCGCTCGGCAAGTCCGTACAAAACCGGACTCTGGAAACCCAAGGCTGATCCCAGTCCGGCACTAACAGGCCGCTGCCCCAAATTTCGAGTTTGGTACCAAACCAGGGCAGGAAAAAGGTCTGTGAGCAAGGCCCGCAGCGCCTCGCTGCGGGTTCGCGGAGAAGGGGCCCAGCACCGAGGGCTCCGCCCCGCGGGTCCCGCCACTAGCGTCCCCACGTGGTCTTTTCGCGGCAAAAACCCTCCCCTCCAGGACCCACCCCCTCGCCCTCTGATTGGAGGGTGGGCCGGGCCCCTCGCCTCTGATTGGCGCCGTGGGCCCCGAGGTTCGCCTCCATTGGCTGACCCCTCAGCATGGCTGCCGATGGGGCGCCACGGCGGCTGTTTTGAACACGTGGAGGCCCCAGTTTACCCAGTCAGCCCCACTTGCAGTTCCTGTAACCCCTCGGTCGCGCGGGGTCCGCCGGCCTCCTCGCCCTCTTCGCCCTCCTCACCCTCCCTTCCCCCTGACCCCCGGCCCCACGAGCGGTCCCCGCCGCGCCTTACCGCCGCATCCCCGCTCTCAGCTACCGCCGCCACGCCGTTCCACTGTTCGGCCGGCTCGGAGCTGCAGGCACGTCGCTTCCTGGCGGGGCTCGGGGAGAAGAAGGAGTAGAGGGTCTTCTGGCCAATCATCCTGGAGCCGAGGAGGGAGCGAACGCGCGCTGCCCGGGGACCCACGAGTTTGGCGCGAGCTGCGGCGGTCAGCAATTGGCGCCAAACAACCCGCGCATGCTCCGACCGGGGTGGGGTGTGGGCGAGGGGGCAGCGGAGGGCCTAGTGCGCATGTGTGGGAGGGGCCGCTGGGCAAGGTCCCTTGGGCGAGTGGGGCTCAGAAAGGTCTTTAGAGTGGGCGGGGTTCCGTAGGTCGATTCACTCAGATGTTTACTCTTTCATTCATTCTTCTCACCCATCATACCTCTGCCTTGGGCAAGTCCCTCCACCTCTCAGTCGGTGAAAGAACTTAAAAGTACCCGCCCCGTAGGGTTTTTTGTGGGAGTGAAATTAGCTTTAAAATAGTAATTGTTTTGCTTTTAGTTGTCCAATTTTCACAACCTGTTTTACTGACGACAACTAAGGCCTAGAGGCCTAACCTGTAAGGTTTGTGGGAGACTTTAACAGAGGTCATAAAGGTTAAACTCCAAACTAGTCATCTTCTGAAAGACATCCCCATACACCTGGGATTCTTCCCCTCTCCCTCCCGACCCACATCCAAACTGTGGACAGGTCCTCTTGGGTCTATCTCCATAATAAAGCCCAAATTCAAATGCTGCTCTCCACCTCTGTTCTACTAACTACAATCCCAGCGGGTCTTCTCTTTTCCTACCTAATCATCTTTTTGAAATGTAAATTACACCATAATAATCCCCAGGTTAAAATCCTATAGTTTCCAAATATGTTTGGAATAAAATCCTTGCTTCTACATACATACAGATGGTCAACAGGCACAGGAAAAGATGCTCAACATCTCTAATTATTAGAGAAATGCAAATTAAAACTACAATGAGGTATCACCTCACACCAGTCAGAATGGCCATCATTAAAGTGTGTACAAGTAGTAAATGCTGGAGATGGTGTGGAGAAAAAGAACCCCTCCTACACTGTTGGTGGGAATGTAAATTGGTGCAGCCACTATGGAGACCAGTATGGAGGTTCCCTAAAGAAACTAAAAATAGAGTTACCATATGATCCAACAATCCCACTCCTGGGCATATATAGGGAAAAAACTCTAATTCGAAAAAGTATATGCACCCCAATGTTCATAGCAGCACTATTTACAATAGTCAAGACATGGAAACAACCTAAACGTCCATTGACAGATAAATGGATAAAGAAGCTGTGGTATATACACACAATGGAATATTAGCCATAACAAAGAACGAAATAATGCCATTTGCAGCAACATTAGAGATTATCATACTGAGTGAAGTCAGAGAAAGACAAATATCATATCACTTATATGTGGAATCTAAAAACATGATAGAAATAAACGTATTTACAAAACAGAAATAGACTCACAGACATAGAAAACAAATTTATGGTTACCAGAGGGGATGGGGCAGAGATAAATTAGGAGTTTGGGGTTAACATATACACAGTACTATATATGAAATAGATAAACAAGGGTCTACTGTATAGCACAGGGAACTATATTCAGTGGAACCTATAATGGAAAATAATCTGAAAAAAGAATATATGTATATATGTGTAACTGAATCACTTTGTGGTACACCTGAAACTAACACAACATTGTAAATTAACTACACTTCAACTTTTAAAAATGGTTTTAAAAAAATCCCTGCCTCTTACCAGTTGGCAAGGCTGCTTCGCACTCTCATGGAAGCCCAGCTGCTGTGACATGATGAGTCTGGTTCTCAGCACAGTCACCAGGCATACCCAGCTGTCCCTTGTGTGGTCTTACACCTTGCACGCACTGTCCCCCTGCCTGGAAAACCTCAGGTCTCAGCTCAAGACCCTGCCTCTGAAGGGCCTTCTCCTCCTGCCCCACTTTCTAGCAGCTCACGCTATTTACAGCTTCTGTACTATCTAAGATGATCTTATTGGGAATTCCCTGGAGGTCCAGTGCTTAAGGCTCTGCGCTTCCACTGCAGGGCACACGGGTTTGATCCCTGGTCAGGGAACTAAGATCCCGCATGCCTTGTGGTGTGGCCAAAATAAAATAAAATAATCTTATTTATTCTCTCCTTGTTTATTTCTGTCTCCATCTCCAACAGGTAACCTGGGTGAGGGCAGGGACTTGATTCTTGTTACTGTTGTTTTCCAGCGCCTAGGACAAGGAGCTTGATGTGTAAGATGAAGAGATGTTCATAATTTAAAATTATTTTTAAAATAAGAAAATAAAAGCCACTGTGAAAAAGTTTGGCAGCTTTGTATAAAGTAACACATACTCTTACCATGCGCCCCTGCGACCCACTCCTACATATTTACCCAAGTGAAATTGGAATCTATATTCACTTGAGAGCTTGTACGTGAATAGATATAGTGACCTTATTTGTATTTTCCCCAAACTGGAAACAACCCAAATGCCCCTCAAGTGGCAAGTAGGTGGACAAATTGTAGGGCATGAGTACAAGGGCAGCTTACCAGCAATAAAAAGGAAGAAACTGATACGAACAACATGGATACATCTTAAAAGCGTTAGGCTAAGTGAAAGAAGCCAGACACAAAGCCTATATATTGTATCATTTCACTTACAAGAAATTCTGGAAAAGGTAAAACTCTAGGGACAGAAAATACATCAGTGGTTGCCAGGGGCTGGGTAAGGGGGCGAGTTGATAACTAGGAGACTTGGGGGAATTTTATGGGATGATGGAATTCTAGATCTTGATTGTGGTGTGGTCACACAACTGTTTACTTTTGTCAAAATTTGCAGAGCTGGATGCTAAGAAGATTCAAAACAAAGCCCCCAACCTCTTTTCATTCCATTGTCCGCGAGGGAGTAAATAAAAATTGGTGATAATAAAAGCTGACATTTGTTTGAAGCACAGAAGCCCTTCTCACACATCCTCTCATTTACTCCTCATGGTGTTCTCATGGCACAGGTTTTGTAGTCCCCACTGTTTAGAGAAGGCAGTTCAAGCCCAGAAGGGTTAAGTGACCTGTAGGAGCCGCACAGCTACAGTTGAGGAGACAGAAATGGAAGTTACGGGGTCTGATTGCAGAATTCGTGCTCCTATCTGCGACAATATGCTGGTTGGCCCAACTCCCTGTCAGGAAACGAAATTAATTCCCAGGGAGAGATGATACCGACCACCGGGGACCCTGCACTGCTGCGGAACAAATAACGTTACCCAGAAATACTGCGGTGCTTGCAGCGCGCCCGGAGGACCAACAGGTGGCGCCCGGAGGCCGCCCACCGCTTTGTGCTGCAGATTTGCCTGGATTTTCTCCAGTTCGCGGCTGAAATCTACCCGGAAGTAGTTCTGTGGAGGGGGTAAGTGTTTCCTCTTTCCGGCAGGACATTTCTACAGTGTCTGGGAGAAGCGGAGCTTCGCGGGAGTTGAGATTTTAAAGAGTACCTTCGGCACCGCCCACCCCCCGCACGTGTTACAATTCTTATTTTCGATCAGAATTCGGCGTGCTGGTGTATGACCACGTTTAACCGTTGTTACATTTAGATTTAGAATCTTGTCCGTGTAAGAATCGCAATACTTACCTGTTTTAATACTTAAGTGGGAGGCCGGCCAGTTATCTACCCCCCACCCCCCAGCCTGTCCTTTGCAGGGTGGAAGGGAGAGAGAGACATGCTTTTCTGGGTGACTTTGAGCAAACCTCTCCCCCTCTCAGTGTGTCAGTTTCCCCATATGTAAAGTGAGGATTTGGGTTGCAGTTTCCAAGTTTGCCATTTGGCGTGTGAATTCCAGGGGTCGGGTGTTTCGGATGTTTGCGGGTGGAGGGCAGGCACACTTGGGTTTTGCAAGCTAGGCAGCTGATTCTAATACCTACCCAGGTGTGGGAGGGATCCTTCCAGCTTTAACCTCCTCTTACTTCCGTTATAGGACATGGTGTTAAACTTTAAAATGGAAACTTAAAAGCTGGAGGAATACCACTGTGAGACCACTTTGCAGAGTGGATTTTGGCATTTGGGACAGAGCCTGGGCAATCTCTCTCTCTCCCTTGGCCTGGCCACTGGCTACCAGGTGTTTGCTTTGTGGAGACTAGATGGACAGATTCCTGGTGAAAGGGGCTGTCAGGGGCCTTATGGGAAAGAGGGGGCAAGAGCAGACCGGAGGAGACCCAGCAGGGTTGGCAAAAGAGGAGGGAACCAGCAGGAAAAAGCCCAGGAGAGCAGCCCCGGGGAATGGAGTCCACCCGGCAGGCCTCAGCTGGAGGCACATTGGAGCCGAGGGCCTGGACTGCGATTACACAGTCCTGTTTGGCAAAGCCGAAGCAGATGAGATTTTCCAAGAGTTGGAGAAAGAAGTGGAATATTTTACAGGTAAGCAGGGGGCGGTGGGGTGTGTGTGGAAGGCTTGTTGGATAAAACTAGTGGTCCGTGTTTAGGGAAATCTGAACCCAGGAGCCATTAATTACGGATGAGTTTGTTAATTGACTCAACACATATTACGGGCACCTCTGGGCCAAGCAACTTGCTGGGTGCTTGGGATACAGACGTAATAACAGGGATCTCCTGTCCGCTGAGAGCGGAGAGATGGTAAATCACCAGGTAATTCCTATGCCCGAGGTTCTCAGCATCACCTGGAGGACTTTGTTGCTTGTGAGAACACCATTGCTTGCCCTGCCCCTGCAGTCTAGTGTCTAGAGTTTCCGGGTGCTACTGATCCGGGGACCACACACTGAGAACAGCTGCAAGGTGGCAGAGCACAGGGACGGGGAGACGTAGAAATGCCCACGGGAGACCCAGCCTCCATCCTGAGCTTCATTAGCACCATCTTCCATCGATGCCCTTTGTCCCCAGAGCTGGCAAAATCACCGTGCTAGCGTGTAACCTAACTACATTTTGCTCCAATTTCAGCCTCTATATTATGGTTCTAGTGAGCAATTAAGGTGTTTTTATTAAAAACTTGGACTAGGGCTGTGTTTCTCCAAGTGTTGGACAAAAATCACTGTCCTTACATGAACGTTTTGGGCGACCCACAATGATTTTTGAGGAGGGGGGTCCCTGGTCGGGGTATTAGATGTTATTCCTGTTTTACTTCCTTTTCTGAATACTCAAGGAGTGAGTGTGGGTTGTCTGAGGCGCTGCCATGTTTCCCCTGCACAGGTGCGCTGGCCAGGGTCCAGGTGTTTGGGAAGTGGCACAATGTCCCAAGGAAGCAGGCGACATACGGCGACGCTGGGCTGACCTACACCTTTTCAGGCCTTACTCTGTCTCCAAAGCCCTGGGTCCCTGTCCTAGAGCGCATCCGGGATCGCATTTCTGTAGTGACTGGACAGAACTTCAACTTCGTGCTTGTCAACAGGTGACACCCTAACTGTTTTACTTTTTAGGACAGTGGACTGAATTTTATAAACCTGTCTCTTCCAAAAAGAAGAGTTTAGGATTCCACCGTACTTTACTCATTTGTACAACAAATAATTCTTCAGTGTATTTAGGGGAGTAGTAGTGGAACACAAGCAATTAGTCTTTATGGAGCTCTCACCATGGCGGGAGTGAGAGGCCGCAAACTGATGAACAGGTGAACAAGATAACTTCAGACGTTGATAAGTGTCTCGTAGAAAATTAAACAAGCTGATCTAAGAACGGCTGGGAGGAAGGAGTCTGGGTTTCTCAACAGCAGGACTCCTGATGCTTTGGGCCAGATAATCCTCTTTCTGGGGCTGACCTGTGCATTGCAGGATGTTGGGCAGCATCCCTAGCCTCCACCCACCAGATGCCAGTAGCACCCTGTGAATGAAAAACGTTGCCTGCCATGTCATCCAACAAAGGATGCAGGGCCATCAAGCCACTGTAGCCTTGAGGGAACTCAGGATGGAGACATACCCATTGCCAAGCTCTCAGCCCCTGCAGCCACCACCAGTGGTGCCTCCTGAGGGGACTCAGGCTGGGAAAGGACAGAATACTGACCCCAGAGAGCTGAGGTGCATCTCAAAGGAATGATTTCAGTGAGCCCAGACTGTCCCATACACAGAAAGGCACGAAATTCATTAGCTTGAGATGTCTGGTTTTATTTTAATTATCAGTAATCTTTTTATGTTCTAACGACCGTGTTTTGTCGGCTCCCCCCCTTACCTCTTCGGAGCAGTCCCCCAGAGCTGGCTGAGAGGCTGCCTCCTGGGCTTAAGTCCTCAGTTTTGTCCGCGGAATGAAACATAATTCTCAGCTTTTAGACTGTGCATTTTTTTCAGGGGTCACTTTGGTCAGAGCAACCAGAATGTCTCCAGACATCGCCTAGTGCCCCGTGGTGGGCAGAGTCACCCTGGTTGAGAGCTCTGGGTTTAAGGGAAGATGGTTAGAGGAGGGTTCACGGAGGGGTGACGTCCGAGCTGATAACTAAACCGAGAGAGAGTGGGAGCCACACAGGCACCTGGAGGGAGAGCAGAGGGAGCTTGGAGTGTCTCGAGTGGAAATCCTGCTGGTGGTGCTGGAAAGCAGTGATGAGCTCAGAGGCCGGCAGGGGCCAGACTGCGCGAGGAATATTTTTTTTTTTTTTTTTTTTTTTTTTTGCTGTACGCGGGCCTCTCAGTGTTGTGGCCTCTCCCGTAGCGGAGCACAGGCTCCGGACGCGCAGGCTCAGCGGCCATGGCTCACGGGCCCAGCCACTTCGCGGCATGTGGGATCCTCCCGGACCGGGGCACGAACCCGCGTCCCCTGCATCGGCAGGCGGACTCGCAACCACTGCGCCACAAGGGAAGCCTGGAATACGGGTTTTAAGTGTAGGGAGAGACCGTCTTACGCCATGAAGGTTTACACATACGAACCCTGCAGGAGAACTCTAAGACTCGTGTTTGGCCTCTGTTGGTGTGCTTTGTTTGTTTTTTTCCTGGTCATGCCACATGGCTTGTGGGATCTTAGTTTCCTGACTAGGGATCAAACCTGGGCCCCCTGCAGTGGAAGCGCAGAGTCCTAACCACTGGACCTCCAGGGAATTCCCTGTTGGTTTTAAAGCGTGATCAAAGAGGGCTGATAACAAAGTGAAAGGCTTGCCTCATCTGTGGACCAGATATAGCCCTCCAGCCCCTGCAGAAACCTGTGCTCGTGGCACTGTTTCCCTGCAGGCAAACGAGGGCTCTGGGTGTGGGCGTGTTTCCACAGAGGGCTGTTCTGTGAACTCTGCTTGTTTTCTCACTGCAGGTACAAAGATGGCCATGACCACATTGGTGAGCACCGAGACGATGAGAGAGAGCTGGCTCCTGGGAGCCCCATCGCCTCTGTCTCCTTTGGGGCTTGCAGAGACTTCTTCTTCCGGCATAAGGATTCCCGGGGGAAGCACCCCTCCCGGAGGCTGGGGGTGGTCAGGCTCCAGCTGGCCCACGGAAGCTTACTTATGATGAACCACCCAACCAACACTCACTGGTACCACAGTCTCCCCGTCCGAAAGAAGATTCTGGCTCCCCGGGTCAACCTGACATTTCGGAAAATCCTGCCTATTACAAAGTAAAAACGTTTTTAACAGCTAGTACTTCTGTTAGCTCCTTCCTTCTCTGCTCCAAGAGGGGGCTGGCATTTCCTTTACCAACAGGGAACACAGAAAAGGTTTAACCCAAGCGCAGGGCTTCTTACATACAATGCTGAACTCAGAAAGGATGTTTGTATCGAGTCGGTGAATTATGAAAGAATACCAGTTGATTTTTTTCCTAACAAAATGATTCTTTTATTGCTATAATACACAGCAGATACAAAAGGTACCTTTAGCAAAAACATAAATCAGCAGTTATTATGGCATAAACTACGAGTTTACCTTAGGTTTTTGCAGAAAGAAGCGACTTTGTAAATAACTTAAAGCTAGAAGTAAGAGTATTTGGCTGCTACTTAATGTCTAATGATTCACAAGAAATGAGAAAGTCACCTTTAAGTCAGGGGAAGAGACTTTGCACGGAGATCATTCACATTTACAACCGTGGCTCAATCCCTCCGACCAAAGATCTGCTTACAACTGAACACTAAAAGGATGAGCCCCATTCATGCCCGGCATCTCTCTTTAATGGCAGGTTGCAAAGTGTAAGCAGCGGCAGAGCAGCGGTTGCTCAAAGCTACAACTTTGCCAGGCAGGTTAAGGTCACGTGATTGAGCATTTGTTTCCCCCAGACCGCGGGTACCACGGGGACGTGCCGTTCACTGTCTAAGCCGGGGTCTGTAAGAAGTCAGGAAGGGACATCTGCTGTGAACAGACCAGAAGCTTTGTGCGGCTCCTTTCTCCCTGAGGTGTGTGGCCTGGAGAACTTCACAGTCCGTTCTGTCAATAGCGAGAGTTCCGAGTCCTCAGGATGCACGCTGGGCCTGGGGGAATGGGATCACCTGGGCCTCTAGCGCTTTCAGCTGATACCAAGGCCTTGTCTGGAAGTGTCTGCCAGCTTGTCCCCACCAGGGGAAGCACAGTCCTCAGCCTGACCTCAGGTGACCTTTTGGACGCGTCTGATTCCAAATCTTATCTCTCAAGAGTCAGTCTGCATTTGTTTTTTGTTTTAAATAAAAGAGCCTAGCTAAAACATAGATACCCCATGTCATCAAAATTCCTTCGGCCCTGGGCTGCCTTCATTAGACTTACCTGAAGAGAGGGGAGGATGCCCAAGAGAGGCCTTTTGTATGAGGCTACTGGAAACGAATACATTTAGAATATGGACCTAGAACAGAATGACAGTACTAGATATCAGCCATAATTTTATGTTCAAAAAGTTTTTTTAGGGCTTCCCTGGTGGCGCAGTGGTTGGGAGTCTGCCTGCCGATGCAGGGGACGCGGGTTCTTGCCCCGGTCTGGGAGGATCCCACGTGCCGCGGAGTGGCTGGGCCCGTGAGCCATGGCCGCTGAGCCTGCGCAACCGGAGGCTGTGCTCCGCAACAGGAGAGGCCGCAGCAGTGAGAGGCCCACGTACCGGGAAAAAAAAAAAAAAAAGTTTTTTTAAACTTCTTTTTTGTGGGAAGGGCTGGACTTGGATGGTCATGGAATCTAACTCATCACTTTACAGATGAGGAAACAGGTCCAGAGAGGCAGCAGCCCCAAGGTCAGTGCCCTTCTTTCAGAATCCAGCTCTCAAATGGAGGCCAGGATTGTCTTTCTGACACAGCCCCTGGCTCCACCTGTAAACCTCAGGAGCTCTTCATGGGCAATAAATAAATAGATGAGAACAGCTGTCTACCGTGGGGTCCTTGTGTGAGAAAGGGTTTTCTACAGAGCGGAGGAGTTGTAGGTGTTCTGGCTGTTCACACAGTTATATAATATGCGATAATCACACCTCAGAGTCCAGGATACAAAAGATAACAGCAAAGAGAAAGCTGGTCACTTGTAACTGACAAAGTAGAGAAAGAATTTCCCCGAGGGACAGATTTGGCACATGAACTTTTACTACATATAAAGAATCGAAAGTTTAGAAAAAGACATATAAAAGGGGAAGGCGGGTGTGCATCAGGCAGTCTTTTAACTGTTCTGTTGCTCTCCATTCAGTAACTTTGGAAGGTACAGAGCTTTTCAAAAATTGTTTATATGATTCCCAGATGAGGTGTATTTTCCAGAAGGGACATGCTACGAAAGCAATTGAGAGTGAAAGGCACTTTTTCTTCGAAGTTGTTGCCTTTAGTAATTTCACTAATTCAACCATTTTTATGGGACTGCTTATTAAAAATAAAAGATCTATGCTGAAACACTGGAGGATCAGACAAAGTTAACTCCCCTCTGAGAACACCTAATGTATCAGAATCTAAAAGAGGTGCCTTCTGGAGTCTGGTTTCTTTTAATTACCTGGATCAGGTGAGTGACAAGACACGCTCTAGACACAATGACTTTTCCTAGCCCGGCACCGCTGCCCTGGTGCGCACGGGCAGAGCTGTGCGGGGAGCCTGACCTCATTTGAATCGGGGCCACCAGCTCCTGTGTGGAGCCTGCTCTTAGAACACGCCAGAAGGCTGCAGGACTCTAGTGGGGCTGCTTGCACATATACACCACAGCACACACACACGCACACGCACACAGCTTGGACGGAGCCATCAGCTCTAGCTTCGGGGCCAGGGCAGAGTCATTCTTCAGACTTGCACTCCTGACTCTGGTGCTGCATCTTGGAAAGAACACGCTCGTAAAACAGCAGGTAGGCGCTGGAGGACAGCACCTCCTGCAGGCTGGCCTTGCGGACAGTGTCGTCAGAAATCCACAGCCACTGGTTGCTGGTGGAGAGAGGGTTCTTGGCTGAAGGCGGGGACCGTCGGTAGGTCACGAAGTGTCCCGAGTGCATGTCTCCGTGGTGGACAACAACTGCCACCAGCTGGAAGAGGTACGTGGAGGAGCTGAACGGTAGGAACAAATGCCAGTGGTTTACAAATACAACAAGGAAGGTTTAGAGGCAAAAGCAAAGAGGAGGGCTTCCCTGGTGGCGCAGTAGATGAGCGTCCACCTGCAGACGCAGGGGACACGGGTTCGTGCCTCAGTCCGGGAAGATCCCACATGCCGCAGAGCGGCTGGGCCTGTGAGCCATGGCCGCTGAGCCTGCGCATCTGGAGCCTGTGCTCCGCAACGGGAGAGGCCACAACAGTGAGAGGCCCGCGTACAGCAAAAAAAAAAAAAAGCAAAGAGTGAAAAATCCTAGATGTTCAACAATAGGGGACTGACAACTATATATAGCTGTATACAGCTATATATAATATATATATATAGTTGTATAGCTGTATACAGCTATACAACTGAATACTATGCAACCACTGAAATAGAGACCTGTATTTACTGGCCTGGTAAACTGTCCATTCTGTGAGTGTATGTATGTTGTGTAGTATATGCGTGCACACACCCACCCACACACACACACACACACACACACACACACAACTTTACAGAGTGGAAGATAAAGATTTAACTGGTGATCTATCTTTAGGTGGTGTCCCCAAAATTTTAAAAGTTTCTTTCTTTATATTCTATGTACATACTTTCATACATATGTACATGTATACACACATACAATAACATTTACATTTTATGGACTTTATAATTCTTATTTTTAAAGCCATCAGTGAATGAGGTATATGCGTCTAAAAAGTGGCTCACCTGTAGTCAGGAACAGCTGGGAGGGGGAAGGGCATCGGGGTTGGCAGCGTGGGCAAGAAAGATGGGGAGCAGGCGCCGTTCATGAAAATCTGTGTTTTGGGGCCCCCCGGGTGACTCCGAACTGCAAGAGAAAAAGGCCAAAGGCAATGAAAGTGAGCAGCAGCTTTGGGTAAACAAGACGTGCTTTGGATTAGCTTGAAATTAAACTGCCCAGTAAGGCTACAGAGGAAGAACAGATACGTGATTTTGTCCTATGCTGATTCATAAAACTTCCTTTTTGTCTCTGCCTGTTTTAATCCCCAAATAGGAAAAATGGACCCAGCTCCTAGCCTCCTGCTCACTTTGACAACTCTGTGAGTCTCTGAGATTCCCAGCCCTGTTTGCTAAAGACCTGCACCCCTGCCAGGGAGAAGAGGAAGCCAGGGCAAGGAGGTCCTGGATTTGAAACTGGGCCCTCTTCCCACCCCAGCTGCTCCCAATGTTAAACTATTGATCTTCTGAGAAAGGACAAAGCTCGGACTCCCTGTGAATGATGTCCTGCCAGGCCACACAAATGGATGTAGGAAAGAATAATGGTAGTAAGGGGTGTTAGGTGGGGAAAGTCTGGGGTGCAGAGAAGACAGTCCTGGCACACGGGTGGTGAGTTCAGGCTTGGAGCCTTGAAAGTCGGTGAGTTTTCCTCATTTACAAAGAACTGAACATATTACATACAACACCTTTACAGAACTGTCCTGACGGGGCTTCCCTGGTGGCGCAGTGGTTGAGAATCCGCCTGCCAATGCAGCGGACACGGGTTCGAGCCCTGGTCTGGGAAGATCCCACATGCCGCAGAGCAACTAGGCCCACGAGCCACAACTACTGAGCCTGCGCATCTGGAGCCTGTGCTCCACAACAAGAGAGGCCGCGATAGTGAGAGGCCTGCGCACCACGATGAAGAGTGGCCCCCGCTCGCCACAACTAGAGAAAGCCCTCGCACAGAAACGAAGACCCAACACAGCCAAAAAACAAAACAAAACAAAACAAAAACTGTCCCGACACTTCATTCCAGTACCAGATCCCCCATCTGCTGTTTGCCCCTGGACCAAATCAGCCTCTGGGAGCCTCGGTTTTCTCTTCAGTGAGACAGAGTGATAATAGCTACCTGGCTTCACTGGGACCCGATCAATAATTAGCTTCAAGGGAGGATGGTAACGGGATCAGACAAAAAGCAATTCAGCAAAGAAGTATCAACCCAAATAAGATGTTCAGGGACCTTCAGCCAGGACATTCCTCCCCACAGCTCCTGTCTAAACGAGGTGACTGTACTGGGAGAAGAAAAGAGAAGAAATTCACTGGAATGAGTTGAGCCAATTATTGTTTAGTCACTTCGAAGACCAGAAAGCAACCTTTTGCTTTCCTGCCTATAGTTTTTCATTTGTAAGAGAGTTTTCAAAAACTAGACATCTCATGACTGTATCATTTAAACCTCTTTTACAAAACCTTTCCTCTCCCACCCCCAATCCTGCTGTTCTCAAGAATTTAAGCAGCCGTCGGGCGAGCCTGGCCCTTGTGGCACAAGGAACCCGCAAATTCCAGCTGCGTTGGCCCCTCGGGCAGGCACCTGGCTTGGGGACTGCTGGCCCGTCCTGCAGCTCCAGCGCAGGCCCTGCCTTCTTGTGCAGCTCAGGGCTGTGGTGAACGGGTTTGTGTCCGAGGAGGTGATACTTGTAGATGTCCATCATCAGGAACTCGTTGAACTGCACGTGCTCGTGCCGCTTCAGGGGTGTGCCGTGGCTGGACCAGCTCAGCCGCTGGAGGTGGATGCACAGACACTGGGGGAGCTGCGGGTGGGAGAGACGGAAAGAGCCGCAGGTCGGGAGTGGGACCCGGGGGGCCCTCGGGAGCAGAGCCGGCCAGGCATGCGGCATGGGCTCACCTTCCCTAGTTTTAACTGTTTGACAAATGTGGTCCTCTGGTGTTCCACCTTCTCCCCATTCAGCGTCCCTTTCGCTTCAATCTGAAATAAAGGAAACATGTCTCTGCAGCAATTCTTTTTTTTTTTTTTTTTTTTTGGCAGCGTCGCGCAGCGTGCAGGATCTCAGTTCCCCGACCAGGGATCGAACCCACACCCTCGGCAATGAAAGCACGGAGTCCTAACCACTGGACCGCTAGGGAAGTCCCTCTGCAGAAATTCTTGAAACAGGACCCCTAGGGACAGCTGTGGGTCTCGCTGGCGTTACAAGTGCATTCACTGGGCACTTGACGTCCACCCGCTGAAGGAACTCAGCTGCCCAATTATCTGTGAGTTGTCTTCACTCTTTTAGTCATTAACTCATGGTGACCGTGGAGGCAAAAGAAGTAAAGAGGCCGCACTGAAACTGACACTAGCATGTCATCTGTTTCGTTCTTTGTCTTCAAAATTTCTGGCCCCCACAGTTCCTCTTAATTCAGAGGGTGATGTTTAATTGCTCGGGGGAGTTGGGCAGGTCGCTCAGCTGAGGCAGATGTGAAACAGGTGGGTGCGGAGGGGACTGCAGTGAATTGGAGCAGGCCTGTCCCACCTCAAAGCATGGCATTCAAACTTTTTTCTTTAAACATTTTGTGGATGAAACCAAACTCATCTGGGAAAAATATTTGGTCCGTGGGCTGCCAATTTCCTCAGCAACTTAGATGGACGTGGCTGTGGCTGCAGAGAGCCTCTGGGGGTAGTCGGCAGAGCTCAGGGCCGACGGTGTGGGAAGCGCTGTATCAGCACACGTGGGCCGGCTCAGGAAATGGCACTTGGGGTTAAAGCCATACCTTTGTACAGTTGTCACATACGACATCCCGCACGGATTCTGACGAGATGAAGTGGTGAAGGCAGTGGTCCAGGGTCAGTGGATGACCCTACAGCACAAGAAGAACATTCATGATTACAATTCAAGGAGAGCTAGACTGAAACTATTAACAGTGTGAAGCCCAGAGCTTTATTCTGCTTAGGCAGGCAGTGAAGCTTCACAGACACAACTGGGTGTTTCCTGAACAAATGGGGAGCCCAGAGCATCCTGGATTTGCTCTTATGGATGGATTCAAGGGTATGAGGACATAACACTGCAGAAAATTATGGGCTTCCATGTTCTTGTAGATAGCTTTGAATTTGAGATTAATGTGTGTGTGTGTGTGTGTGTGTGTGTGTGTGTGTGTGTGTGTGTGTAAAAAAAAGCCAAAATTTCTGCAGCAAGAGAGAAAATGCCCACCTTCTCCCCCCAGGACAGGCCATGGTACCACAGATTAAAACTAAGATGGGTTCAACCAACCATGTGTCTGAGTCATGTGTGGTAGCTGAGCTACACGAAATGTCTCAAAGCCCTTTCAGATTCAAATGTCTCCAAAACAGACCCCAAGTAAACCACAGATCAGTACATACCCATGTGGCAGCTGGAATACTTAGTGAAAGGCTATCGAAGGTATCAAATCGAACGGGACTCTGAAACACATATTGCAGAAAAACCAGAAAGGACTTAGGTTCAATTCAAAGCTTTATAGATGGGAAGATATATGCCTATAAAACAGTTTAATATTTACATGCCCAACAGCAACATAGTCAAACATAATGTACTTACCTAGAAGCAAATTCTATTAAGAACAACCTTGTAAACATAAGAACTACAATAATACTAAAGGATATCTTGGAAAAACTATACAATAGCCTACCTGTCCCAGCAATTTTGGGATTTCTATCCTAAGGAAATAACCATGGATAATATAACTACAAGGATGTGGTTATCACAGCATCATTTATGATGGCAAAATGTGAATGGGTGAAAATTCTAGGGAATGATTAAATAAATTATATCATGTCCATATATTATAGAATGGAATACTATATATTTAAAATAGTGTAGTAGAGGGGCTTCCCTGGTGGCGCAGTGGTTGAGAGTCCACCTGCCGATGCAGGGGACACGGTTTGTGCCCCAGTCTGGGAAGATCCCACATGCCGCGGAGCGGCTGGGCCCGTGAGCCATGGCCGCTGAGCCTGCGCGTCTGGAGCCTGTGCTCCGCAATGGGAGAGGCCACAACAGTGAGAGGCCCGCGTACCGCAAAAAAAAAAAAAAAAAATAGTGTAGTAGAACTACACATAATTATATGGAAAGATGTGCACGTTATATTATTAACTGCAAAAAAAGCCCCAAAACAACAAATGATAAAACAGGGTGAAGAGGTCCTGCTTTCAGACTTCCCTGGTGGTGCACTGGTTAAGAATCTGCCTGCCAATGCAGGGGACACAGGTTCGAACCCTGGTCCGGGAAGATCACACAGGCCGTGGAGTAACTAAGCCCATGTGCCACATCTACTAAGCCTGTGCTCTACAGCCCGTGCTCCACAAGAGAAGCCACCGCAATGAGAAGCGCGCGCACCACAATGAAGAGTAGCCCCCGCTCACCACAACTAGTGAAAGCCCGCGTGCAGCAACGAAGACCCAACACAGCCAAAAACAAATACATAAATAAATAAATTTATTTTTTTAAAAAAGAGTTCCTGCTTTCGATTATGGCACAGTACGTTGGCTAGACTAACTCTCCTTGACATAACAATTGTAAAATCTGGACCAAAACAAAACAAATTGAACAACTGGAGGGCTACCAAAAGCAGGCAGAAATGGAGAAGTTAATTCTTGGAGAAACAGGACCTCCATGGGTGAGATTTGCATTGTGTGGCTTCTTTGCCTGAGGGTACCCCGTAATCCATGCAGTTCAGTGTTGGGTGGGAAAAAGCAGCAGTCTTACAGAATTAAGGTATCAGAAGACAGAGTTCAGGGCTGGTACAGAGGCTGGAGGAAATCCCAGAAAGAGAGGAGCCAGGAGAGGATAGGCCCTACAATCTGTGTATAAGCCCTGCCTTATTCCATGGCTGATCCCTAAAGCACACAGACACGGAAGAGACTCCAGGGACTCAGCAAGAAGCTGCGGCTGGAGGCTGAGAAAGCTGAGCAGAGATTCTGCCGCCCAGTGTTGGAGAGAGGGGGTTTGGAGTTTGAGCTCAGCCAAGGCAACCGCCTGCTAGAACAGAATTCATTATTTCTCAGAGAGACATACCAGAATCCAGAGTCTCTACTACGGTGTCAATATTAAAAAATTATTAGACATACAGTACAAAGAAAGAAGAAAGTGTGAGCCATGGTGTGGAGGGAAGAGGAGGTGAGGACCTGGATGGTGCTATTAGCACAAGGACCCTAAAGGAGTATATTAGAAATATGCCCAAGGACATAAAGGAAGAGAGAGTTATTCAGATCTAGCGGAGGACAAATAGAGAATCTCAGCAGAGAAATGGAAATTATAGAGAACCGAAAGAAATAGATAATTAAAAGGAACAATAACTAAAATGAAAAATTCACTGGGCAAGCAAACAGAGGCTGAAGATGGGAAAGACAGACAGTAAATTTGAAGATAGGTCAATAGAAATTATCTAAGTTGAAGGACACGGAGGAGAAAGACTGAAGAAAAAAGAACCAAGCCTCAGTGACCTGTGGAACAATATCAAATGGACTAACAAGTCGAGAATGGGCATACATTTTTTTGAAAAAAATAGTGGCCAAAAAAATGTTCAAAGTTGGTGAAAAGCATAAATGTACATAAATGTAACCAAACTAAAACAACAGCAACACCATCAACCCAAAATTCTATACACAGCCAAACCAGTCTTCAAAAAGAGGAAGGGCAAAACAAAAACATTTTTATATAAATGAAATCTAAGTGAATTTGTCAACAGACCTGCAAGAAATGTTGAAGGAATATTTTTAGACTGACGGGAGAAAAACATCAAATGGACCTGGATCTACAGAAAGCACTGAGGAATACTGAAAATGGTAAACGTGAAATTTTTTTCTTTTAATTTCTTTTAAACACATATAACTGTTTAGAGTAAAAATTTTTATGACAGTGTCGTGGGGTTTATAATGTATGTACATGTAAATAATATATATGACAAAGCACAAAAGATGAGGTAACAGAACTATACTTTCACAATGTTCCTACATTTTACACAAAGGAATATGATATTAACTCTAAATAAACTGTGATAAGTTAACATTGCATGATGTAATCACACACACACAAATGTAAAAAAAGTGTAGCTAAAAAGCTAACAGAGGAATTACAGTGGAATACTAAAAAGTATTCAATTAACCGAAAAGAAGGGAGGAATGGAGGACCGGAGAAACAAAAACTATATGCGACAAGTAGAAAACAAACGGTAAAACAGCAGACCTAAATCCACCCTATAAATACCTACGTTAAATGTAAATGTACTAAACACACCGAATAAAAGGCAGATAGGAAGCTGGATAAAAAGGCAAGACCCAATTATATGCTCTCTACAAAAGCCACACTTTAAATACAAAGACAAAAGATAGGTCAAAAATAAGAGCACAGGGGCTTCCCTGGTGGCACAGCAGTTGAGAGTCCGCCTGCCGATGCAGGGGACACGGGTTCGTGCCCCAGTCCGGGAAGATCCCACATGCCGTGGAGCGGCTGGGCCCGTGAGCCATGGCTGCTGAGCCTGCGTGTCTGGAGCCTGTGCTCCGCAACGGGAGAGGCCACAACAGTGAGAGGCCCGCGTATCGCAAAAAACAAACAAACAAAACAAAACAAAAAAAATAAGAGCACAGAAAGAGACATACCATAGAAACACTAGTTAGATGGAAACTAAACAGACAAAATAGACTTCCAGACAAGGAGTCTTACTAGAGATAAAGAGGGACATTTTATAATGACAATAAGAGTCAACTCATCATAATTAATTCATGTGTATGTGTCTCATACCAGAGTCTCAAAAGAAATTCAGCAAAAATAGAACTAAAGAAATAAAAAGAAACAAATTCTAGCAAACACTTAAGGAAAAAGCAATACCAATATTACCCAAAGACCTTGAGGAAATAGAGGCAGTAATACTTCCCAGCTTATTTTATGAGGCTAGCATAACACTTATAATAAAACCTGAGAAAGACATTCCAAGAAAATCATAAACATAAAACACGAATAGCCTTCAGAAAATGTTAGCAAACCAAATCTAGTAATATATAAAAAGAATGACATCACAATAAAATGAAATTTATCCCAGAAACACAAAGGTAGTTTAACATTAGAAAAATCAATCACTGTAATTCACCATATTAACAGAATAAAAGAAAAAAAAAAGATCATCTCAATATATGTAGAAAAAGCAAGACAAAATCCAATTATTAGTCATGATAAAAACTCTCAGCAAACTAGGAATAGAAAAGAACTTTCTCAGTGTGATAAAAGGAGAATATGAAAACTCAAAGATAACATCATACTTAATTACGAAACACCAAATATTTGTTTCTTAAGACTTGAAACAAGGCAAAAGTGGAAACAGCCCAAATGCCCATCAGCTGACGAATGGATAAACAAAATGTGATCTATCCATACAATGGAATATTATTTGGTAATAAACAGGAATCAAGTACTGATACATGCTACAACATGTGGAAGAACCCTGAAAACATTATGCTGAGTGAAAGAAGCTAGTCTCAAAGCACCATATGATTCCATTTATATGAAACGTCCAGAATAGACATATAGAGACAGAAAGTAGATTAGTGGTTTCCTAGGGCTGACAGAGTGTGGGGAGAAAAGAGAAATGACTGCTAATGGGTACAGGGGTGGTTTTTTTGTGTGTGCGGGAGCAAGGGGTGGGTGATGAAAAATATTCTAAAACTGACTGAGGTGACAGTTGTACAATTCTCTATTTTTGCATCATGCTCAAAATTTTGCATAATAAAAATTTTAAGTCTCAAAAGCTAAACACACACACACACACACACACACCCCAAAAAACCAGCCCTAGAATCTGTTGTGTTCACCATGGATATAGATCCAACCTTAGGACTCAAAACCCTGCCAATCACAATGGGTCTGATGCTCTTGGTACAGTAAATGCCATCTGAGAATCAACTGATATGTCAGCACTGACCAAGGGTGGGCAGTCGGTCCACCAAGCCTACAGACCCCAGAAAAATCACAGAAGCCAGACACCAATGTCAGTCCTCATGCTCTGGATCCTTCATGAATCTTTTTTTCTTTTTGCGGTACGTGGGCCTCTCACTGTTGCGGCCTCTCCCGTTGTGGAGCACAGGCTCCGGAGGCGCAGGCCCAGTGGCCATGGCTCACGGGCCCAGCCACTCCACGGCATGTGGGATCTTCCCAGACCGGGGCACGAACCCGTGTCCCCTGCATCGCCAGGCGGACTCTCAACCACTGCGCCACCAGGGAAGCCCCATGAATCTTAACTTAAAGAAAACCTTGCCAGAAAATATCAAGTATTGGTATTGTATTTACCTGGTGCTCACAGTGTTTGCAGACCATGTTACTAGTAAGTCTTCCATGAAAAGGATGCTGGGACTTCCAGTGGCTGGATGTGGGATGAGGTGACCCTGGAATACAGAACACCTTTGGATAGGCCACCTCTAGCCCTCTGGCACCAACCTCAAAATTCACCCCCCTTCTTAGTATGTGGTAGACACACCTTCTTTAGAAAAAAAAAAAAGTTCCTGAAAAGGAAACTGAAAGAGCTTCCCTTATTGAAATCCATCAAAAAGACAACCAGTTCCCTTCACAGGAGAATTTACACAGGTCCTTAAATGTGGTTTCTATATAATAGGTACAGCCACATTTAAAAAAGAAATTTGTGTTTGATAATGTCTTTTTACAAACATTTGCTTCAAATGTTTGAGATGTCACAAGAATGATACCACTGATGAACATTCCATAAAGTGAGATAAACTTCTGAAATCATCAGAATAAGCAAGTTCTGAAAAACGCGAGCTTTCCGGGGGACAGGATTGGGGCTAGCGGAATAAACACAGCAGCGTGGTGTGCTAGTTGGAACCACGGGCTCCAGGTCAGGCCAGCCTGGGCTGGGTCCTGGCTTTGCTTATTAGCCATGTGACCAGAGCCAGAGACTTCATCCCTGTAAGCCTCAGTTTGCTGGAAATGGGGATAATTATGACCCCACTATCCTCTATACCGCCAACTTCATAGAGCTGTTGGGAGGCTTAAATGAGATATTACGGTGCCTGGCACACGGTATGGACCCCAAAGAGAATTGTCCTCATTACTACCAGTGTGCAAAGGAATTGATACGTCATTTTTTTTTTAAGTGTTAAGAAAACAATAATTTCCTTCTAAGGAGGAAGGGATCATTTGCAGGAATAGTTGGCCAAAGTGTAAATGCTGAGGACACGGCAGTTTCAGCTTATTAAGTTCACCAGAGGACCAATTCAAGAAGGTAAAGAAAAACCCTAGTTTGAGGGAGAAATAAGTCCGTTCAGAGGAAACTGAGCAGGGCTCGGGTGTGATGGAACAATTCAAGATGTTCACCAGGGGGACATTTTAATTTAAAACTGTTCCCAAAACACAGGTTCCTTTCAAGCACACACACTCCAAGTCAGAATGGGTGTCACCAGAAAAAACATTATTTTTAGAAAACATAAAGCAAATTATTGTCATTTCTAAAAAGTACACATCTCACGTGTTACAGTTCAACAGAAAATGACTACCTCTGGTGTGGCAGGTGATCTGTCTGGGAGTCATTTCTGACTGCTGCTGTAGGAGACGAAAAAGAGAGAGGCTGAAAACCCTACTGCAATCTCTCTGATCACCCACCCTCACCCCACTCTTAAATCTCACAAGTTTCTGTGCTGACTGCACAGTTCAGAATCAACTTTATTTATTTATATATTTCTTTACTTTTAGGCCATGCCGCTTGGCACGTGGGATCTTAGCTCCCCGACCAGGGATCGAACCCAAGCCCTCTGCCTTAGAAGCACGGAGGCTTAACCACTGGACCACCAGGGAAGTCCCTCAAAGTCAACTTTAAACCAAGCTTCCTAAAAGGGGCCTTAATTATGCTCTCTGGTTGGTTACTGTACCTGTTCCTTCACCAAATGCAACTGAACATACTGCCTCTCCGGAATACTCCCCCATTTTTACTAATTAACTTTTATCAACTCCCTAACATTTATAATGTGCCAGAGAAATAAGATTCATTTAGCATTCCTGTGGCTCCTTTTTCTCCTGTATTAAATGGGGGGGGGGGAATACATTCTTTCATCTCAAGCCCAACACAAATTGCGGCAGGGAATCATTTTTTAAGAGCTCAACATCTCTAACCAAAGTCACCAACTGCCAAATGTGACGTTTAAGACCCTCCACCAGCCTCACTCCCACTACTGGGTTTTTATCCAATCTTACTTTTGAGTTTAAAGTTACACGAAAATTACATTTGTATTCCCTGTACCTGTTCAATATGCACAGACTGCATTCATTGCATTGAGTGTGTTAATGGTTTACCTCTAGGGAATGCACGTCAAACAGATGTGTGACCCGGGGCTGGTGGTCCCGCTCATCCTCCAAAGACGAGGTAATGACATGGAATAACTCATGAGCGTCCTGTCAAAGGGCAAAGCATTCTTCAGAGTGGCCCGAAGAGGCCGCGGCAACATCAGAACCACCCCTGTGTGGACCACCAGGAAGATCCCCTGTGGCTAAGGTGGGCAGAATTTGCTTCCCACCTTCTCAAGGCCCAGTGCGTTAAATGGAAATGGTTACATCCTAGACATTTTCACCAGTAAAGGCCCTCAACTGAGAGGCCCAAGGGGAGAGAGAAGGAATGAATGCTGGGTGGGCAGGCTTCACGCTGATCTGAGCCATCTCTGAGCGTGTTTTAGCTTTACTGAGATGGCTCTGACCTCTGCTCTACCTGACTACTGTTTTGTTTGCATTGTGGTAAAACACTCATCCAATTTAAGCTTTTTAAGTGTACAGCTCATTGGCATTAAGCACATTCACACTGTTGTGCTACCATCACCACCGTCCATCTTCAGAACTTTTTTCATCTTCCCCAATGGAAACTCCACGCCCACTAAACACTAACTCCCCAATCCCCCGCACCCCCCGGCACCCACTGTTCTACTCTGTTGTCTATGAATTCCGCTTATCCTCAGATAAGTGGAATCATACGGTATCTGTCCTTTTGTGACTGACTTGTTTGACTTAGCACAATATGCCGATTCATCTATGACGTAGCACAGAATTTCCTTCCTTTTAAAGGCTGAGTAATACTCCACTATGCACACCTATCACATCTTGTTTATCCATCAGCCATCGATGGGCAGGTGAGCCGCTTCCGCCTTTCAGCTGTCATGAATGATGCTGCTGTGAACCAGGCTACACAAAATATCTGAGTCCCTGCTTTCAGCTCTTTCGGGCGTACACCCAGAAGCAGAATTGCTGCCTCATGTGGCAGGGGACTATTTTTTAAGGATCAATTCAAACGCCCCTCTCCCCAAAAGCCAAAGCCACCCCGACTCTCCTGGGATGGGCAGCCCGTCCCCCCTGAACTCTGATGCGGCTGATACTCACTGGGCTGCCACTCTTGGCTCCATCCACAGTCACCAGAGCGATCTGTTTCTAAAGGCAAATGACTTTTCTCTTCTGCTTTCAACCTCCCGATGGCCTCCACTGCTGCGGTGAATGGCTCCCTTCTTAGCTGGCTGGCCAGCCCTGACACGCCCCGGCCCCAGAACCTTCTCCCTGCCCCGCCGCGCCCCAGCCCCTGGCCTTCTCTTGCTCCCTGATATGCGCCAAGCCGGCTCCCACCTCAGACCTGGGTCTTTCCTGCGCCCAGGTCTTCACGCCTTCACGCGGCCGCCTCTCTCTCATCCTTCAGGGCTCCTCAGGGAACCCTCCGTCACCAGCCCTCCCTGACCTAACCTCACCCCCGGCCATTCAGCAGCGGCCCCGCAGGCTCTCCCTCCAAACCACCCGCTGAATCCCTGAGGTCTCTCCATCTGCCCTACCTCAGCCCCAGCCTGAGCCGGACCCTCCCCGGCCTGGGTGTCTGCATGGCCGCCCATGCTTTCCTCTCTCTGCTCCCGCCCTGCCCCCCTGCACCCCTCTTGTACAGAGGCCAGCGTGGTCCTGTTCACATGTTAGGTCGGGCCAAAGCGGTCCCCTGCCGAAGCTCCGAGTGGCGCCCCCTGCGCGCAGAGCAGAAGCCCGGCTCCAGCCCTCGGCCTCCCAGGCCCTGCAGCCCGCACAGCCTCTCTCCTCCACTGCCCCCCCTGCCCCCCCTGCCCCCCTGCCCTCCGGGAGCCACAGGGCCCCACTGGCACGGATGGGACAACATCCTGGGGGCGGCTAGGCTGGAAGTCCCAACAACTTCCAAGGGCTCACTCCCAGGGCCTCAGTGACTTCACAGCTGAGAATTTATTGTAACAAAATAACCAAAAGTGCTACTAGAGATTCAGGCAGAAAGACAACCTGGGATTGATAGCAGCCTGCAAACTGACCCCCAGTGAGTGGTGTATTTCTGACATACACGCAGGTAATTCTACGATGCCACTAAAAACTGTGCGTTCTTAAGAATTCAATAATGAAAAATTCTCATGTGCTTGCAGCTGCTCGAGGCTTTTGCCCCGCCTCTGCTCCTCCGGCTGGCACGCTGCGCCCACAGCACCCTGGGCCTCGCTCCTCTTTAGTCTCCAGGTCTCAGCTGAAACCTCAGGTCCCTAGAGAAGCCGCTCCCTCTAAAGGAGTCCCCCTGCCGCTTTCCTCTCATCTCACCGCCCGTCCTCCCCGCACTTTCTCACATCACCTTCTTAGCACATGTTAAAGTTACCTGCGGATGGTCTGCAGCCCCACCCTCACTACACCTCGAGCTCCTTGAGCACAGGGCCCCTGCAAGTCACGCTTGCTGCTACCACCCAGCGCCCTCAGCAGGCCCTTCCCGAGGCCGGCGTTCAATAAGCATTTGTTGCACGTATAAATGAATCCCCTCTAAGGCTATGACCAGCAGCTGGCGAGAGAGTGATGGAGAGTCTAAGGTAAGTAAGGCAAGGCTCTTGCCCTCAGGGACTCACAACCCAGGGGCAGACATGGCAGCCTTGCTACTATGTAGCAGTGCAATTCTATGGCCCTGTTATGACTAGTGAGCCCTGGACATGGAGCTGAGGGAGGATCACCTCTTCCTGCAAGGCTCGGGGAACCTTGACAGACCAGGCATCTGGGCCAGCCCATGAAGCATGAGCAAGGGTTCACCACAGAGAAAAATCCCAAGACAGGATGGCGTCGGATCCAAAACCTATTCTGTCACCGTCAGTCATGTGATTACTTGGCCTTGAGAAAAGGAACAGTATCACCGAAGAGCTGAAGAGCAGCCACTTTAGTGTCAGACTGGCTTGAATCCTGGCTCTGTCACTCAAATAGCTGTGTGACTTTGGGCAAGTCACTTGACTGCTCTGAACCTCAGTGTCCTCATCTGTAAAATGGGGATAGTAACAGTAACTCCTTACAGGGCTGTGGTGAGGATTCAATCAGATAATTCACATACCTGGCCCAAAGCACCCCACAGCTCTAGCTTTAGACACTGAAAAGTGGTTGGATGACCAGATCACTAATAGTGAAGGTGTGGACAAGGCCCCATGCTAGATGTTCTGGGTACCTTCAAAGAGGAACAGAACCAGAGACAGACATGCTTCTCCTTCCCACACATACTACGGCACTCTGAGGCTCAGTGTCAGACACTGGAAATACTCCCCAGGAGCAACTGGGACTTAAGTGGGTCCTTGACAGAAGAGCAGGGCTTAGAAAAGGAATGTGAGCAAAGAATGTCGCCTGTCATATCAGTAAACAAAGGACGTTGCTGGCCACCAAGCCATCGGCTCCTGCAGCCGCCCCCTGCTGTGTCCTCTGAGGGGATTCAAGATGGAGAAAAGCAGGATACCGGCCCTAGACAGCTAAGGGGCATCTCGAAGGAATGATTTCAATGAACTCAGACCCTTGCATCTTCCCTTACACAGAAAAATGCTAAATTCATTAACTTGACATGTCTGTTTTTTCTTTAATTAACAGTAATCTTCTGATGTTCTGACTACCTGTTTTTGTTTTTGTTGATTTTGCAAACACTTGATATATCCTGCTCCTCCCTTACCTCTTGGGAGCAGTCCCTCAGAGCTATCTGAGAGGCTGCCTCCCGGGCTTAAGCCCTCGGGACGTCTGTCAAAGAAAACCTAATTCTCAACTTTGAGGTTGTGCTTTTTTTTTCAGCTGACAGGTATCTGAGTTAAGGACTAAATCTCAGTCACTGTCTCAGTTTAGAGAAATGTAAAATGTAGCTAAATAATTCCACTTACCAGAGGAGGATTTAAAAAGTATTCTCTAAATGGAAAAATATTTCAACATATAATGGATCAATTGAGAAGTGTACTGTAAGAACGTATAGGATACTCTCAAAGTTGTGTTTAAGTAACACATACATGGCTTCAGATGAAAGTGGAAACAGAGATCATCTCTAAAGACGACGGGAGAGAGGAAGCCTTTCCGCCTCACTTCTCCGTTTTTACATGCCTCCTGCTTCAGCCCCACAGTTTTGGGAGCCCAGGGGGTCTGGTCCAGGGGCTCCCTGGGGGAGGCAGAAGCAGCCAACCCAACGCTGGCCAGGGCCAGCCTGGAAATGTGGCGGTGGGGTTGGACCGCCGGAAGTGTACACCAACGGAAGCGCAATTCTTGGTCCCTAGAGCTTCACTCTCTCAGCCTCAGCCTCGTCCTCTGGGGAAGAGGAGGGTGGCCAGTACCAAAGAAGACAAGGAAACTGTAGTCGTGGAAAAGGGGGGCGGGAGTGGCTAAAGGACGGCCCTGGGACTGCATATGACGGCTGCTCAAGGTTTGCGGCCACTTTAAGCCAGCCTCCGAAGACTGGTGTTTTTTTTTTAATGAAGGTATAGTCTAAAAAAGAGTCTCACCCAAACCTCTGAGCCTCTAAGGTAAAGCCACCTGCTTCTCTCTAATAGGCCCCAGATGTCCCCACCATCCACTGAAATGCAAAGTCACTCAGGAACTAAAAAGATTTTCCCTTTGGCAGCTGTGTGCTCATGCCCTATCCTGTGAACCTTCCCTCTCCCCTGATTGCGAGAGCAGGAATAAAGTTCACAATCTGGTCTCGGGACACTAAGGCTGTCTAAAATGTCACAGAAATGTCCACGCAGGTCAGACAACTGCAAGGTCAATGCTGGCGTTTATTCTTCCCGCTGCAGCAATGCAGCTGTTTCTGGAGCTCAGGCCCCACCTCATTAGTGGGAAAGATTCTCCAAGGAAACCTGCTTTGAATGTTGTGTTCACCTGCTCTTCAAACGAAGAGATCTGCCATCTGTACATTCTTAAGACGTCCAACAAGCAGCTTGCATCCAAGACCTCTTCATCAGTGACTTCTTGGCAGGATAAAGCTGGGAACAAAAAAGGTAGCACAGTTATTAAGTGAACCAGCATGACAACTAACCAGAAAAGCTGCACAGCACAACGTGTCAAAGCTAATTAAAAATGTAAGGACTGTAAAATTCACCTTGGAATTGTATCTCTTTCATTATTCTTCCTTGTAGCCTTACCCAATGCTTAGTACACTAGTAGACACTTTGTGTTTGTCGAATGAATGTAATTTTTCATGAGGTTGCACCATTTAAATGAAGTAACTGACTTTCAGATATCTGAATTACTATCATCAATATAAATTTACTGTTGCAAGATGTGTAGTGAATAAAATGATTTTAACTCACAACTCTGAGGGACAGGAGGGCCTTTAAACAACCATCTGGTTCAACCCTACACTCACTGCCCTAACCCCTCTCTACAGGACTCTCTTCTGTGGCCATAAGGCCTTCTCTTGGATTTGTTTGCATTTGAGTTTCTGATTATCACCACAAAACATCAAGCTCTATGAGGCAGCCTGAAACAGTCTTCTGAGTGGTTTACTTTTCAATCAAGGTAGAATCAAGCCTAATAGACAAAAATAAAAGTCTGATGGGCTTATGAATTTATATTACATCTAGATTGGGGTTGGCAAACTTTTTCTGTAAGGGGTCAGCTAGTAAACATTTTAGGCTTTGCAGGTGTCTGTAGCAACTACTCATCTCTGCCCATGTAGCACAAAAAGCAGCCACAGATGACAGATAAATAATATTACATATTATATATTACATAAATAATATTACATATTATATATTACATAAATAATATTACATAGATAATATGTAAACAAACAGCCATGGCTGTGTTTCAATAAAATTGTATTCACAAAAACAGGCGGTGGGACTTCTCTGGTGGCGCAGTGGTTAAGAATCCGCCTGCCAATGCAGAGGACATGGGTTTGGGCCCTGGTCCGGGAAGATCCCACATGCCATGGAGCAACTAAGCCCGTGTGCCACAACTACTGAAGTCCGCGCACCTAGAGCCTGTGCTCCACAACAAGAGAAGCCACTGCAATGAGAAGCCCGCGCACCGCGACGAAGAGTAGCCCCCGCTCGCCGCCAGCTACAGAAAGCCCACGCGCAGCAACAAAGACCCAATGCAGCCAAAAATAAATAAATAAATAAAGTTATTTAAAAAAACAAAACAAAAAACAGGCGGTAGGCCAAATTTGGCCGAAGGGCCATAGCTTGTTGATTCCTGATCTTGACCATCCCCCGTCCCACAGCATATTATAATGGACCAGTATATCACACTGGGCCAGTACTGCTAGGGCAGAGGAGATAAAAATACAGGAGCCTGCCCTCTCAGCGCAGTTTCTGGGAGCTCAGTGATTCTCCAGATAAACTAAGCCAGCCTGTTTCTCCTCCTTGATTTGCAGCCAGTGAACTTGAGAGATAGCTCTGAATACTTCAGACTCTGACTCTGGAGGGTCCGAACTTTGCCAATGCCACCCCTCTCAGAACATGGCTCGTGCCGTGGGTGGTGACCTGCAGTGGAAAAGCAGCAGCGTCGGCAGCCAGTAGCCAGTTATCAGTGCAAATAAACCCTGAGGTCAGACCTTTACCCTCCAGTATGAAGGAGACCCGTCACGAGAGGTACTGTTCCTTCCTTCTTCCTCCTACATTCCCAGGCGGCCCTTCTGTTAGCTTTTATCCTCCCAAGGAAAATCTGAATGTCCCCTTCAGCCCAATTTTGCCTACAATGCTGTGTGGCAACGTCTACTAATTTTCATACCCTACAATCCAGCAGTATGACTTTCTCAGGATCTACCCCAGGGAAAGACGTGCCTATGTGCACGATGGGCATGTACAAGGATGTTCACTGCAGCCTGTTTATGTAGACAAGGCACCAGAAGCAAATGGCTAAGTAAACCGGGATATCTTGCGATTATGGATGCTATGCAGCTGTAAAGGTGTGTGACGTTTGTAAATCACATGTTTGATAAGGGCTTGAGACCCAAGATATATAAGGGACTCCTAAAACTCAACAACAATAAAAATACAGAAAACCAAATTTAAAAATGGACAAAAGATCTGAATAGACGTTTCATCAAAACAACACAAAACCCCCCTAGAAATGGCCAATAAACACATGAAAAGATGCTCAACATTACCTATGATTAGGGAAATGCAAATCAAGACCACAATGAGATATCACTTTCACACCCATCAAAAAGACAGACAATAACAAGTGCTGGTGAGGATGTGGAGAGCTGGAACATCTGTGCACTGCTGGTGGGAATGTAATATGCCAAGGCTGCTGTGGAAAGCAGTGTGGTGATTCCTCAAAATAGTAAACAGAATTACCATTTGATCCAGCAATTCCACTTCTGGGTCTATACCCCCCAAAATTAAAAGCACGGGCTTGAACAGGTATCTGTACACCAGTCTCCACAGCAGCATTATTCACAACGGCCAAAAGGTGGAAACAACCCAAACATCCACTGACCTATAAATGGATAAACAAAATGTAGTGTGTATATACATACATATACACACACAGCAGAATATTACTCATATTCAACCTTAAAAAGGAATGAAATTCTGACACATGCTACAATGTGGATGAACCTCAAGGACATTATGCTAAGTGAAACAAACCAGACATAAAAGGACAAATATTGTATGATTCCACTTAAATATGGTACACAGTCAAACTCATAGAGATAGAAAATAGAATAGTAGTTACCAGGGTCTGGGGGTAGTGGAAAATGGGAAGTTATTGTTTAAATGGATACACAGTTGCAATATGGGAAGATGCAAAGTTTCTGGAGACGAATAGTGGTCATGGTTGCACAACAATGTGAATATACTTAATACTACAGAACTGTTTACTTGAAAATGGTTATGGTGGTAAATTTTACAGTATGAATATTTTACCTCAAAAATTTTTAAAATTAATTAATTTATTAATTAATTTATTTTATTTTTGGCTGCATGTGGCCTTCGTTTCTGCGCACGGGCTTTCTCTGGTTGCAGCAAGCGGGGGCTACTCTTCGTTGCAGTGCACGGGTTTCTCATCGCAGTGGCTTCTCTTGTTGTGGCTCGCGGGCTCTAGGCTCACGGGCTTCAGTAGTTGTGGTGCACAGGTTTAGTTGCTCTGTGGCATGTGGGATCTTCCGGGACCAGGGCTCAAACCCGTGTCCCCTGCATTGGCAGGCAGATTCTTAACCACTGCGCCACCAGGGAAGCCCCTTCACCTCAATTTTTAAAAATGGGCAAAGGATATGAGTTGGTAGTTCACAGAAGACAAAATACATGAGACCAGTAAACTCACAAAAAGAAAAAAAAAAAACGGTGAGTGAGATAGAGCTACAAGTAATGAAATGGCCATTTTTCTAGTACATATCACGTTATTTGGTCATGAAAAAACAAAACAATATATCATTTCTGTGGGTACTTAGAAACATAGTTAAATGCACAGAAAATGGTCTGGAAGGTTACACTTATCTTTTACTTTTGGGAAGGAAGGAAGGGAGCGGGACTGGGGTAGTGATAAAGAGAATTTTAGCCTTATCTGTAATGCTTTAATTTTTCAACAAGAAGAATTTACTCATGAATTACTTATATAATGAAAAACTATTTCTAAAAACCAAAATAAAAGACACTGAGAAGCAGAAGCAGAGAAGGAAGGATATAATGGGAGGACAACACCTAACCCTACATTATGACACCTATGTGGACATGTCAGTTCTTCACACAGTCTTTGGGATGGTATGTTTTTTTTTTTTAACAGGGCAGTAAAAGAAATTATTTTCAAGTTGCCCCTTTTTTTTCTTTCAAGTTGCCTCTTATACAGAAGAGCAGAACTTACTTTTCATACAGGTTTCTGTGTCAAGCTGAGATCATACCTCAGTGAAGCAATATTTAGCTGAGTGTTTTTAAAATCCAATATTTTTCTGACTATGGGAGTAATACACGCTTATTATTGAAAGTTTTTTTTTTTTTCATGTTTTTAAACTGTCACCTGCACCATGCCAAAATAGCCATGGCTAACATTTTGGCTTTTCCTGTCCAGCCTTTATCTGTGGAACTTTTTGCTTTGGCTGAAGTAAAATTATACCATATTTCGTACCCCACTCTTTCAAACTTAATAGGATAGCCTATGCCCTCTCCCAAATTAAAAAGAAAACAGAAACATTTCATAAAGATGATTCTTAATGGGTATACAACATTCCATTGATTGCTGAATCATTCTACTGCTGGATAACCATATTCTTTCCTTTTCCCCCCCACTACCACAGACTATCTTTGCACAGATAGTCGGCCATCCATACCCACTGGTTCAGCATCCTCAGATTCAACCAAGGATTGAAAATAGTCAGGAAGGGAATTCCCTAGTGGTCCAGTGGTTAAGACTCCGCGCTTCCACTGCCAGGGGCCTAGGTTCAATCCCTAGTCGGGGAACTAAGATCCTGCTGCACAGTGCAGCCCCCAGAAAAGAAAATATTCAGGAAAACAAATTCCAGAAAGTTCCCCAAAGCAAAATTTGACTTTGCTCGGCACCGGCAACTATTGACATAGCAGTTACATTGTATCAGGTATTATAAGTAGCACAGAGATGATTTAAAGCTTATGGGAGGATGTACATAGGTTATACACAAACACTACACCATTTCATATAAGGGACTTGAGCATCTGCAGATTTTGGTATCTGCGTGTGGGGCTGTCCAGATGCTACAGGAGGAAACCCAGCTCTACAGTCAAACAAAGTGGTTTCAAAATGAAGTTAGATTGGTGGCTTCCTAAAACCTTTACCAAGCCCATGTACACTGTGACTCTCCAAGCTCGGGGCCAGTATTGAGCCATTCCCACACTTGTTTGCCCTAAGAACTCCACGGCAGGCTAGTGTAAATCATCGTCCACCAATTACTTGGTCAAATGGTACTGAACATTTTGCAAGCTATTACTGTGTGGTTCCACTGTTTTCCAGAAAGGCTGCCCCAAGTTGCACCACCACCAGCATTTATGAACGTGTCACCCAACAGCTGGTCAGGATTGTGGACTTTCCAATATTTGCTGACAGGCCAAAAAATGGTACCTCACTAGTATGTTATTTATATTTCTTTGATGATGGCCAAATTGCTTATTTTGTTTGTTAGATGCATTCTGTATCTATCTCAATACAATCTGTATTATTTCTTTTGTGAATTACCTTATTTCCTAGGCTAAGACACTTTTTGCTTTTTAAACTTTGATGTTTGTGAAACCAGAGCACTTCTTACAGTCAAAATGCTTAAATGGAAGTGGATTTTTCTCCTTCCTTAAAAAGCTTTTACTAAACTGACAAGTTTTAAAATAAACGATTACAGCTTTGATTTAAAAAAAAAATACCTGTCTCTATCTATTGGGCCCTTAGTGCTTTTATCATAATGATAGGTATGATCTTTTTCTACATAAAGGCTATTAACCTTTTGCCTGCCATCTGGGCTGCTGCTTTGAAAATGCACAGCATGCCCTTTACATTTCCAGGTAGGTACCTTTCAAGAGATGCAACAGTGTCAAGGACAAGCGCTGGTGTCGGGGGGACTCCTCCTGACCCCTGGTGTACTGGGTGGTGAATTCTTCCAGCCACTTGATGAAGGTGGGGCAGGCAGACAGGCCTTGCAGCAGGGAGTTCATGAAGCAGGTGTTCCCCAGGTTGACAAGGCCAGGCACAAGCCCTAAAAAAGTGGGGGGAACAAGAGAGCAGCGCATCGCATTGGACCATCTCCTTTTTCTTCTCCCATTTGGGACCCAGAATTCCTGCACCGTGGCCTTGGATTGAAAACCCCTACCTCAGAAAGTCCTCATCCACAGAGAGCAGGGGGCCAGGCATCCTGTCCTAGCCGAGGCCCAGTCCTACCACTGCTCCTTCAGGAGACCGTAAGCCGCAGAAGGACAAGTCCGGGCCGCGTGTGACTACTGAAATGCACCAGAGTGTCTGGCACAGCCTGGCTTCCATTGAATGTTCAGAAACACTTAGTAACCTCTCTCTCTCTTTCTCTCCCTCACTCTCTCTCTCTTCTTTGGTAAGAAAGCAATGTTTCTCACAACAGAAGAAAACAATTGTTCTGTTCCTGTTCCCACAGGACAATGATTTTGTTCTTATAATCAGTGGGAAAGACACCACTACTGCCATTCTGATCAGTCCTTCTGCAAAGAGATCAACAAAATCTGACATACTTCCCTCTTCCGCTGAAATTAAAAAAAAAAAAACAAAAAAAAACTTTTTATTATGAGAGTTCTCAAACATGCACAAAAGAAGAGTAGGTATCTAATGAACCCCAGTTACAACCATCCCCAGATTTAACAGTGATCAACATTTTGCTACACCTGTCCCTTTTATGTATTTATTTATTTTGGCTGAATTTTAATCAGTATAAGTAGAGCAACATTGACAAAGGGGGGTATTTTTAAAAATAAGGGAACAGATTTTTGTGTTAGTGAAGAAACAAACTTGAAACATTTACTAGTGACTAGCAGCTATTCAGTGAGAGCACAAAGGCGTCACACAATTAGGCAGCTGTACAACTGAAAAACACAATGGCCATAGCAATGAGAACACTTAGACAATTAAGCCACTTGAAATTTTTCATTACGAAGCATGTCTCAAACTCATGACCTTAGTGGGGGTGAAATATAAATCTTTTTACTATGGGGTATAACATAATGAGTCATTAAAATTAACTTCTGTTTAAAAGAAAGTACTATTGACAAAATTGAAGATACAAGAGAACCAAAAATGTCCTCCCCTTTTTGTACTGTTTTTAAACAATAAGAGTTTGGGTCCAGTCTATAGACCATGATCCAAAGGCTTCATTCTTACCTTTTCTACGCTTCTTTCTTTCTGTAATGGGACCCCAAATAACATATATTCCTGCTGCTAGCGCAGCGGCAATTCCACCTATAACACCCCAGTTCTTCATGAGTTTATATCTAAAAAAGAAAATAAGTTTACTGTCTTTCCTCATCACAAATGCAATATGTGTATATACAGGTACAAGTACACAGAAATAACATTTCATCAAAATAACCCACTGGCCTGCCAAATACCTAGCTTTCAGATTAAAGTAATATACAGTACAGGATTATGTCTTGAAAATCAGCACATTTAGACATTAGGGTTTAAAACCTAAGTCAGAGCACAACCTCCCCAGAGCCCCACCGGCCAGGGCTTTCCTCCTGCTCTGCCTCTCATTCTGCTGCCATACCAGCCGCCACCCTGGCCACAGCCAAGCTCCCACCCCAGGGCCTCTGCACTGCTGCTCCCTCTGCCTCAGATGCTGTTCCCCCAGGTCCCACTGCTTGGTTCACTCCCTCCCCATCCCTTCACTTCTAACAAACTACTAGAACCTGCACTCGTGGCCCTTTTACCCAGTTCTACTTTTTCTTTTTACCACAGAGCTCACCACCTTCCAACCTAACTTTCTCTTATTCACGACGTTTATTTTTGGTCTCCCGCAACTGAAATGCAAAGTCCCCACGGGCAGGGATCTTTGTTTTACACACTAACGTATCCCAAGTGTTTCCAAGTATTTAGATCACATAGTAGGTTCTTGATAATATATTGAATGCTTGGGACCTGGAGAAATATAGAAATGGATTTATCTTTTAGGTTATTAAATGGGGTAAGGGAGAGGCATACAATAGTATAAAAGATCTTCTAAATATTTATTAAATTACAGATTTCTTCATTTGAGGCTTGACTCGAATACTGAAGTTATTCTTTTACTACAAATAAAGAAATTTCACCAGTAACTTAAAACACTGTCTTCATACACAGTTATGTATTTCCACTAAATAAGGCAACCAATATATGTACCTATATATATCTGTGCAATACATACCTGTATATATGTGTTAGCTACACATATGTTTGTATATGTTTAAAATATTCTTATCCCAATATATGGATCATGTGAATATTGTTTTGACCTCAACTCAGTCAACATTAACTCAGGGAAGAGCCACTGGTAATACTAGTAACTCTGTCTACAACAACCAACATTTTTCCAGTGTCATGGCTGATGTGATACACAACTGATGACTGAATTTCAAATAAATCTTTGTTCTCCCAAGACAGTGTTGGTAGAATGTGCACAGAACTTGGTTAAGAAAGTGGAATTCCATAATCTGGTCCAGTTCTGGTTCTGCTATTCCCTATGGCGTCACTGCACCTTCTAAGCCTCAGCTTTCTCATCTGTACAATGGGGACAATTGTGAGACCTACTTTACAGAATTATTGTAAAGACTGAATAAGTGCTAACGCATGGGGTGCATAGTAAGAGCTTAACAAATGTTAGCTGCTGCAATTATCAAGTATTATAATCTCAGCTTCATTCATGAACGTTATTCCTGAAGTTTCTTAATGCAACATTGTGCTGATTTTTACACGATAGGTATATTCACGTGAGGCCGCGTGGATCTGAACTCATGTCTGTTGGGCTGCCAAGTCTGTGCTTCAAACCAGGAAGCTCATGGGGAGATTGAAGGACAGAATGTCAAAAGGATGGGAGAGAGGGCCTGCCTAGGTCCTAAGTAGGGCATGGATGAAAAACCCCAACTCTGGAAACCCCACAGCACGAGGAGAGTAGTGGGGCCTGGGAGTGAAAAGATCTGGCTTCTCCCCGCAGCTCTGCTGTCAGCTCAGCTGTAGGACCACAGGCATGGCCACTGCAAGGCCCGTGTCCCAACTACAGAATGGGGGCACTGGACAGGATCACCACTGAGGACTTCCAACCCTGGGATGATAAGCTCTTTAGACTGCTCCAGTTCCAGAGGGAGGAAGCTGACCTGAGCAATGGGTCTCAGTCATTTAGGGTCAGGAAGGGGGCTTGGGGGGAGGGACGGAGCCACACTGCTCAGCTCTGAAGCCTGGAGCCCGAGGGAGGGTGGATAAGAGAAGGGACATAGGGACCCTGACAGGGTTGAGAACCCATACTATTGGGGGTCCTAGCAGGAA